ACACACTCGCGCGGGCGAGACCAAGCCAAAGGCAGAACGCAAGAAAGCTGTTTTGGCAGAGCAGAGTTAATATGGGATCTATACGACCTAGTGCAGGTACTTTTATTCGCTCCCGTAATATCATCCGACGGCTGTGCTCTCACGCTTTCGAGCTTGTGATCGAGAGAGGTTTAATCCTGATTGAACGATCCGTCCGTTGATTTTTTAATGGCTTAACCACGGTTTCAGTCAAATGACAACGCCGAACAGGCAAGCTGTCGTACTTGGCCTATTGCGATTACATCCGGCGCGTCATCTATCAAGCCAGTTGAGGTATCTGATGAATACTCTAGCAACAGTTCAATGTTACTGTGTTGGTCACCTTATTTGAGTGACCACATAATGTATTCCGTAGCTCCTTTCTGGATATCATTGTTCGCACTGCAATCCCAGGTCTCCCTTCATTTGTCACTTCGCTCTTCCTCCCGTTCGTTAACTGCTTCCAGTCCTTTCTTTTTCATCGGTCTCACTCGGTTCGCTCCAATCAGGCTGGCAATACAGCTGGACACAGACCCTTGCAATGCTTTGCCTGTCTTAATTTATCATTAACACAACGACATGCAATAGATGGGAATCCTTTGTCTATCTCAAGCCCTAATTCTTCGCTGCGAGTCCTTGACCCGAATCCAAGATCTTGCTATCTTCATTCCAACCTGTGTGGAGTTTTTATTCTCTTCCTCCTTGCTCTACAGGACTTGGAGATCTGACCGGTGCGTGCTAGATCAGAACGAGATATTTAGCGACTTCCTGATTCATTCCCTAGAATTCTTCTCTTTCTAATGTTCGAAGGCTGGATCTATTTTGCGCTGGCTCTGCTTGAATTCCTATCACACATTCTTACCGCTGTGCGGGACGATTTGGAAGTCTTCAGAATCGTAGACATTGTCCTTGGTGAGTCCTTGTTGCTAAATCCCACTATCTCCGATTTATGACCGCACTACACTTTAGGAGCGTTTTCATCCCTTCCTTTACTTTTTTATACTTTCTTTTTGTGTATTTTCAGCTGGACTTATCTCATGGACGCCATCCCCCAATGGCTACAGAGGCTTGGAAAATTTTTTATGGTGGTTCTCATCCCGGTTGTTGTGGGTTTGAATGCAGTATCGTCTTTCATCGGGATCACACATCGATGTAAGTTTAGCAATTATTACGAATGTGCCTCCCCTTAACACCGTTCAATTAGCCATCAACTCGACTGTTGAAGTTGGTTTCAGCAGTCCTAACGACAAAACACTATGGACCTTTCTCACCGACTTTGATATCGGTTTCATCGTCGGATACCAGATACTGCACTTTTTGTTTGCTTTTCTCCGGCTGGCAAAGGCTTTTCTCGAGCAGGGACGGATTGAATCCACCGAGGCTGATGAGGCGCTGCTCGTAAGGGGAACTGCTTGGATTGTACTGGGTATCAAAGTGGGGGCTATAGAGACTGCCATCGCTTTTGTACCGCAATTCTTTGGTACAACGCTTGCGAGGAGAATATTGCGTGCGGTAGGGAGGGGATCGTTGGTTTTTGGTCTGCTTAGAGGGTGCGTGGCTCGTATAGAGAACTCGGAGTCGCATAATTAATTCGGATTCTTTCGGCAGACTCGACGTTGCTGAAGACTTTCAACATATCCGTGAAGAGATTCAAGCTGGAAACAAAAACCGATCCTTCCGCGGCTCCCGTATTCGACCTCTCGTATCTGATCGTCGTCTCTCAGCCCTCAGACAGTTCTCGCCTGAAGTGCCATCTCGAGGGGCAGTGCTCAGTCCTATTCTAGAAGGAGATACTCCTCTCGGCACCGCTCGTACTGTTATGTCCCCGGGACAGCGCGTCGCAGTTCTTCTGGACTCTTCGGGAGCCAGCGCACCAACTCTAGAGATGCGATTTTCAGCTCTTAATATGCCCAGTCCTGCCGACATCGTCGAGGGTATGGGTAATCGACCGGAGCTGATGTCACATTCACAGAGATCCTCGTACTACGCCAACTCGACCATGACACGTCAGACTATCGGAGTGTCAGAGGCGCAACCGCCTTCTCGTTCCACTGGAACTGCGGAATCTCCACGTCAGAGGAATTTAGACGTTGTGACTCACGCCTCTAATGTCGGCGCGCAGGCTGGTGTCTGGAACTCGGAGAATCCCTTGGCCTACAGCGTCGTCAAGGATCCGACCTCTCAATTTACTGATTTACCGCCCGGAGTGACAGCGGTTTCTCAGCAGGCGCGGCAAGATTTGTATATCGATACTTCTTTGTCGAGCTCTCCTCCAAAAAGAAGCAACTCGCACAATAGAAAACCGGCTCCCCGTGCTTCTCTCGTCCTCGGCTCAACTTCTGCCGATCCCGACGCCTTTGAAGGAGAAGGTAGGATGAATATACCAAGTCTTCTGGAGTCATCCGAGCATGCACATCAAATGGGCCTCGCTCTGAATGCAGCCGACAGCTGGGCCGCTGCTGGCTCGCATTTTTCTTACCCTCCAGGATCTCCGCGCACATCGTCTGCCTATTCCACTTCTCCTACCACGGGCATAACCGAGGAAGCGTTCAAGTTCGACATGGAAAGACGAACATCTCGAGGCTCCCGGGCTCATGTCAGTGCTGTACAGTCTCACCTGCCTTGGGTTCTAGAGAATGATCCGCCCGAGAGCGAAACACACACTCGCGGGAAGAGTACGGATACTCTCGCTAGCTCTAGGTTTCAGCGACCAGAGTCGGAGGAATATGATGTGGGCTACTCTGAGGAACCGAGTGCGGAGCCAACACCGCGGAGAAGTAACTCTGGTTCCAGATCTTCCCGGAGTCGTCGATCTCGTTCAGCGGGGAGAATCAAAAGTGTCGGCCAAGCGCCGAGGAGGACACCTACTCTCACTCAATCGAGCTATGCGCGGGAAAGTGTATACATACAGCCTATTTTTATTCCACCGCAACAGGGCGGGAATTCCAATGTAGAATTGGAGCAAGGGACGCTGAATGGTTCTATCTTGAGCCATGGCCAGGCGTTCAGGGATTCGGATGTTCTGGGCGGTAGTAATGAATCTGCTGAATTTCATGCGATATAGACTTTCTATTGCTGGGTCAATTTGTATTACTGGACTCTGGGACTGTAGTACTGTACAATCTAATCGACTACATTTGTAAGTAGCTATGTAGTAGTACCTGTTACGGCGTACTCTATAAGCGAGGGAGGAAAGCGTCTCGCGGCAGTACACATGCCCGCAACGCCCTCGCTATGCTGTATATATATCGAGTCGTCAAAACTCTGGGCAGTGGTGATTGTCTACGGTTACGTCATGTTATGTTTTTATTCCTGGTACGTCGAATGATGCGATGAGTTGGAAGGGGAAAGCCCATCTCGCGCGCGAAGGCCCTTAGGCCATCCATCGATGCCGTAGCTTTCCCAATTGGCATCCTCGGAAATAGGAAGTTCTTCCTCTAGTTCATGCGCAGGTTGAATTTCCCATACGACTTGAAGCGACAACGGGAGACATACCGTTCGGTACGCATTTTATAGTCATTCCAAGATCCCCAGGTCCTCCCTTCCGTTCGGGTTCCAACTTTGACGCGGCGAGGTAGTATCGAGGAAGTAACATTTGTATCGGAACGTTATCGTATCCATATACTTTGGAAAAGAGAATGGTCTTTTCGACGTCCTTTTTAGCTGCTGTGAGGATTTTGAGAAGCTCGGCCGGATTGAAAAAAGCCTTCTCATCTTCGACGAAATACTGCATCAAAAAGGCTGAGAGCGTGCTGGACTCGTGAAAGGACTCATTCACCTTTGGCGCCGCTATGAACTTGCTCTCTTTAAACCAGAAAACGCACTGGGAGGGTTCAGTCGAGTTGAGGGAAACTGGTTGACCGGTTGACTTACTTTGCTATCGCCCGACCACTTTGTAGGACGCGGAAACGTATAAGCTCCTTGGCCGATTTGAGAGCCGCTTGGCTTGACGTCCGTCAACCTTCCAACCGAATTATACTCGTTTGCCTTATCCTGGAAGAAAATAAATCAGACTCCAGAGTCATCTATGGGTACAGAATGAGGGGACGCTCACATAAGTGACGTATCTAGAGTAACAAAGAAGACGCGATTTAATCCTCGAAAGCTGGTTCCCAAAGAGGATGAAAGCAGGACAGACCTAAAGCCGCCGACCATTTTTTTTGGTAAAAGCTTGGAAAGAGGCGAAGCACAGATGCCCGGTACGAGCACCAGCAATATTGCTGCGACGAGAAACGACGAGAAACGCATTAATAACATGGGTAGGATTTGGGGAGGGAGATTCGGTGAAGGGACCAGATGGCAGAGACCAGCTCTGGGTAGAACATTTAGGAACTTGGTCCTTTTATACTCGTCCAAAGGCAAAAAGAAAAAAAACGCAAAACAGGCGCATTGAGGGAAAGAGCACCGCCTATTCTCATCTGCCTGTTTTTTTCTGCTCGCAGCTTGTCCGGATATACTTACTATCGTGCCATCGGATCAGCTAAGGCAAGAAGAGGCAAAACAACGTCCTTCAAATGTTTTAGGCGAGGAGGAGGATGAGGCGAGTACTATGCAACGAGCATTTGACCCTGAGGTAGTTTGCGCTCTTAAGGCCGTGGTCGTTGAGCGTTGTTCAGTTTTGCGCAGGAACAAAGAACACTGGAGGGCTTGTTGTCTGCCCTTGATAAACCTGATGGGTGAGGGACAGTGGTATTAGCGGCGTGAACTAGAGTATGGTTGGCGAAACACAGTAGGAACCGCAAATACTAACCTATAAGTAGCGCGTACAAGATGTATGGGCAGCAGGGGATGCCAGCACCGCTTAGACGGCTTAGCCTCGTTTCCAACTGCAATGTCAAAACCAAGAGTTCTTCGAAATTCTTTACGCTGTTCCTGTACAGGTCCCGGCTAGCCTTCGCATAAATATCTCACACTGCAGATCAATTTTAAGGTAGGAGGAATGAATACACGGAACAAAAAAAAAAGCCTCTACTTTCTCAGTACGACGCCAGCAGGATTCGAACCTGCGCCCTCAAAGAGGAACAGATGAATTAATCAGAAACTTTTAACGGTTCTAATCTGTCGCCGTAACCACTTGGCTATAGCGCCGACAAGGTTACCCACACAACCTCAAACTATGTTGCTTCGACTTGCGGACGAAGGAAGTAGTCATGGTGCAGCCCCATCAGAAAACACTTGAGTAGAACACTGACGGGGTATATTATGGCAATAAGGTGACAATCGACTGCTGTAAACGGTCTTTGTTTCGTTCTGAGGCCAAGGGCCAGATCCGGCCGCACCGGCACCCTTAACATATACTGCAGAGAAAATACTTGTATCATTATCAACGACGATAGTTGTGAATTTAGAGTACCAGCGATCCAAACCGGGACGCCCCGATGAAGATCCTTCCCTCTCGATAAACGCGCTTTGACTTTCAAGCCACAAAACCCTCAGGTCAACCCGGGATATTCCATTCATGCTATTTCGCGCACCTCTCCCGCTTTTTCTTCTCACTCTTGTTCAGCTTGTCGTATTCCTCTAGGAGCCATATAGAGTGCCATATCGATTAAATATAGACTGTATTTCCGAAAAAAAAAGGTCTGCTCAACTCGTCGAAACCTTGATCCCCAACGTATTCTTTCCAGATTTCGCAAACGCGTCTGTCTCCGTGGCTCGAGTTACTTTATACTAGATGACGATTTGAATTTTGGAGGGTCTTTGGATTTGCGGTGTTTGAAGAAGAGGATATTGATGGTTTCGCCAAGCTTTTGGGTTGGGGGATTGATTGGTCAGCGAGGTATTCAACTTGGACGAGGGTTTTTGGGGTGGTGCGGTCGCCGAAGATCCAAGAGTCTTGGATGTAGCGCTAGAGGGGGATGGGGGGTTGAGCTATAGGTAAGATGGGAGACGGGAGGCGGGAGGCGGGGAGAGAGGAGGGACGTTAGTGCGGTGTCGTGAAAGAGGGAGGTTCTATGGATGTCAACCTTGGAGGCAGCGGGAGTTTTGGCTTTGGAAGCGGATATCCTGCACTACGCGTACGTACATAGATGTCACTTCATTGTTAGCGTAGCCCAGCCCTCAGAAGGCTGCTCGGTAGTCGGTACTCGCAACCCAGTGCTCCCTCACCATTACCACGTCGCAGAAGACAGGACAAGACAAGACTCACTCTGCGATCCCATCATATACATTCCTGCAGGAGGAGAAGCATACGCCCCCCCAGGTCCGATCTCTTGAAAGGAAGTTCAAATGGCCGTGAGCGTTTTCTTTGCGATGAATTCTTCGGCTTTCCACTGCAAGTAAGTTAAGTGATATTTATGAGCGATACTCATTCATGGGGGAGCGATGTTGCGATCATGTATAGAGTCACAGTAGATATACACAACGAATGACCGACAAAATGACAACCTCACCTCTTCCACGTATCGAATCCCAACAAACTCATTATCAGGGTCTTCTTCGTCTTCGCCCGGTTTTGAGGAAGTGCATTCACGGGTTTGGGGGCGTTCATTGAGAAGGGCGTCCGAGTCTGTGGAATTGGCGCTGGCGCCACCGATACTTCTCGTGGACCGGTGAGGTTGGCAGGAACGCTGGGAGGGGGAGCTGGGCACGGGTATACCGGTGGTGTCGCCAAGAGCGTTATCGTTTGGGCGGTCACGAGGAAGGCGAAGAAGAGGGAGGGAACTTGACGAGGCGCCGGGACTCGGAATTGGTGAAGAAGAAGGGAGGGAGTCATTTTGTCGAAAGAAGAAGTCGTAAAGGTAAAGCCCGAGACCAGCTCAGAGGCAAGATGTTGAATGAAGAGAAAATGAAAAAGTTTTTAGGGATATCCTTGAGCTATCCCCTCTATTTTGTACGCTTAGTGGACCATATGAACGGCTCAAGACTTCCGGTAGAGCGGAGCAGCCCTCAAGTAGTCCGTCGGGAGTCTGGTATTCGTGCAAAGATTTACCTCATATGATCCGCCAGGACTTGGCGGGGGTGAATTCAAGTTTGGCCCGCGTCCGACGCCGCGACATACAGAATGTTATCTTTGCCCTATCTTGACAACTCAGCCTTCTATTTTCAGATTGTTTCCCTTTTCTGTCATCGGCCGAACTGAGCGTAACTGTCAATTGTCAGAGAATTCGAAGCGGTATTTCGTCGGGAATGAATGGTCTTTATATAGCTTTTCCAGGCAGAACCAGGCTGGAACTTGGGAAAGCTGTTACCTGTTGAGGTGATAGGTAGCTGCTGGCCACCAGGGACATACACATGGTATGCCCTCACTGGTGACTGTCCGCTGAATTCAATTCTGGCATCAGCAATCAAAACATCGCCCATACCATAAACGAGTTGCTTGAAAGGTTATATCGGCAACATAAAGTAACGCGTGGACCTTACCCGACGCTGATAAACCCTTCTTGATTCCTTTCCCCCATCTTCGGACCAACCATATCCGACTAGTTTTTCTCTCGCCAAAGTTTGCAGGCATTCCCAATGGCGACCACCCGACGATTGGGCCTTCTTTCTGGCCATCTACTGCGAAATTCTTTTGCTTCAGCATCCCAGTACAGATCCTTTGCTTCTTCAGCTAGAATGCGTGCTCCAGAATTCCAAAAAATCGTCGTAGAGAACCCGGTCGTTGAGCTGGACGGCGATGAGATGACCAGGATCATCTGGAAAAAGATTCGCGAAGAGGTAAGCCTTGGAGACAGCTTTTTTCTTTTCTTTTCAAACACGCTGAATAACCAATACCAATAGCTAATTCTTCCGTATCTCCAACTGGATATCAAGTATTACGACCTCGGTCTCGAATACAGGGACCAGACCAGCGACAAGGTTACCGTAGAATCCGCAGAGGCCATCCTCAAATACGGCGTTGGAATCAAATGTGCCACGATTACCCCAGATGAAGCTCGCGTCACAGAGTTCAACCTCAAGCAAATGTGGAAGAGTCCCAATGGAACTGTACGTCGTCGTCGTTCGTCCTTGACCAGTTCAAATAGATCTCAATTCACCCACCCTGGAATTCGCTGTCAATTAGATTCGTAATATGATTGGCGGAACCGTTTTCCGTGAACCTATAATTCTCACCAGGATTCCTCGACCCGTCCCGGGCTGGGTCAAGCCCATTGTGATTGGCAGACACGCTTTCGGGGATCAATATCGCTCGACGGATTTCGTCGCACCTGGACCTGGAAAGTTGCAGCTGGTATACACGCCTACTGATGGATCAAAAGCGACTACGCTTGACGTGTATGACTTCAAAGGACCCGGGGTTGCCATGAGTATGTATAATACAGATGAGGTGCGTGTGTTGTGTTGTCTGGTTCGTGTTCAAATTGCCATGCGTTCCTGACGGAAACTGCTCCCCGCACGCAGTCGATCCAAGGATTCGCGCATTCTTCGTTCAAGATGGCATTGGCGAAAAAGATGCCTCTGTTCATGTCGACGAAGAATACCATCATGAAAAAGTACGATGGTCGGTTCAAGGATATTTTCCAAGAGATTTACGAAGCGTGCGTGTTCACGAATCATTCTCCCTGTCCCTCCCAACTCATTCCACTCCTTCCCGGCTTCACACAGTCAATACAAACGCGACTTTGAATCCGCCGGCATCTACTACGAACACCGTCTCATCGACGACATGGTCGCCCAAGCCATCAAATCCTCCGGCGGCTTCGTCTGGGCGTGCAAAAACTACGACGGCGATGTCCAATCCGACATCCTCGCCCAAGGCTTCGGCTCCCTCGGAATGATGACCTCCGAACTCATCACCCCCGACGGCCTCGTCGTCGAATCCGAAGCCGCGCACGGGACCGTCACGCGCCACTACCGCGAGTACCAAAAGGGCAACGAGACGTCGACGAACCCCGTCGCGTCGATTTTCGCGTGGACGAGGGGGTTGTTGCACCGGGCAAAGTTGGATGGGAACGAGAGGTTGAGGGTGTTTTGTGAGTGTTTGGAGAAGGCGTGTGTGGAGGTGATAGATGAGGATGGGGTGATGACGAAGGATTTGGCGTTGGCGATTTATGGGAAGGAGATGAAAAGGGAGCATTGGGTGATTACGGATGTGTATATGGATGCTGTTAATGTGGGTGCTGGGTAGCTCTTTGTTGGGTTTTCGACGCTGATTTGTTTGTTATAGGCTAAATTGCAGGACAAGCTTGCTTCTGCTAACGCGTAACCGGACATACGGACTGTTATCCGGGAGGGTCCAACATGTCGAGGGACGATGGTTTGTTTGTTGTTTGTATGTAATACTCAACTTTTTTTTTGTGTGTTGTAAAAGGTGGAAACGGCTTCGTACATATCACTATCGCACATTCTTCAAATGTATTCCTGTCCCGGAGTAGAGATTCAACATCTATATATGTATGTATGTACGCGTACGGTATGTATGGGACAATCTTTTTTTCAATTTTGCTTGGAGAGGGTTCGATGGTTGATTATTTTTGTGTTATTGTTTCAACCAGCTAGTAGTAGTATGGAAAGTCCAGTCGTGTTTTCGTCTGGTACTTTGAGCATGGTATTCTCTCCGTCACGGTTTATTCTTCTTTCTATTCTTCTAGCCTTCCTAACTTTCCCCCTTAGCGGTCGGATGAGGTTCAAGGGGCGAGATGCTGGAACGAAAAGCGTAGTGAGTTCAATGCTCAGGGGTTTTCCACAGGTGTACGGATTGGACCACAAGTAGTGGTACAACGAGACATATATGGCGGCGTGGGGGGGATGAAATCAGGTTGTCGTGGTCTTGGGCGTTCCCTTCTTTCAAGTTCAATGACTTCGAACCCACTTTCTTCAACAGTCCTATCTCTCACGACGTTTAAGTATATGGAAGCAGCCAGATGGGTTTGTGAAGACAGACCATATTTGCTCGCGAATTGAAGAAACCCGTTTATGAGATGAGGCGGGTAGGTACGGATGCACCATGAGCCTAGAAAAGGGCATTCAACGAAGACAAGTCAGGTATGTGGCATGATTTAAGCCCCGCCCTTACGACCATTTTACATTCTCCTCTTTATAACTGCGAGTCGTTGTACATTTTCCTTACACAACCTGCACTCACACAACTTACAGTTTTCAATGGAGTGGCTGGTGGATTATTGTGGACCCGATTTTCACAGACT